AAACTCAACAATTTTCTTCGACTTATGGAAAGTTGCATTATCCAAAATCACCGTTTGTCCAGGCTGTAAAATTGGCACCAAAAATTCCTTAAACCAGACATTCATAAAGTAGTTTTTCCTATTTTAAACCTTTTTGCTACCATCTCTCTGCTTTCTCCTTCATCCAACCCTTCCATTGCCTTTTTCCTTAAATCGTAACTATATGCTGCTGGCACTCAATCCTCTCTATTCACTAAATCCATATTTTATCACATTCGCTCTATTAAGGAACGAGCTATAATCTATGGCTTGTACCTGGTACATTTACGTCACTCATTGATGAATTTGGATTTAATTGTTGTCTTTCCTGCACCCTTTCCTCAACTATACTCTTTTCTTTTAGAAGTATTTGTCTTTCTTGTTCTGCGCATGTTCTTACTGCTTCTATTTCTCCAATGACGCTAGATCTTAATTCATTAATATTTGTATCGCTGCACTGATCTGCAAATTTTTCTGCATTGTACTCACACTCAGTAAAATTCTTGTTCCAATTCCCAAACTGATCAGCTAGCCTTGATGATTTATCGAATTCTTTTTCGCCGATAGAATCAACACCCTTTAATTCTTCTCCTAGTTTTTTATACTCACCACACATGTTTCTATACTTTTCTTGATAATCTATGTTTAAAACTAGACAAATATATAGCTGCTCTAAATTTTCCCTCACACCTTGATTCTCCATTATCGCTTCTATAGGTATCTTAAAACACTCAGCTCCTGCATACATCAAACCAATGGCTTTTTTTCTAAGCATTTCTTGCCCATCAACCTTTTTTACCATTTCTCTTGTTACTTGATCAACAATAAAGCGTCTTATGGTATCTTCTATTACTTCATTTATCGCGTTACTGCTATCTTCTGCACTTAATATATCGTCCTTATTTTTCCCTATCTCCCTCATCACTTCATTTAGTATTTGTTCCGGTGATGAGTTGTGCTCCATTACGTGCTTTGCCACTGCTTCCACAATTGCATCTTCACTACCTTCAACTATGTCACATAGCTCATCATCAAATTTTGATTTTCTTAGTAACCTACTAAATAAACTTATTATTTTTACCCTTTGATCAGCCTGCTCAGCCCTTTGAGACTCCTGCTCAGCCCTTTGATCGGAGGCTAGTTTTCCTTGTTCAGCTTCTTCCCTTGCCTGCGCCTCATGTTCTATTTTTTTATCTTTTTGTGCAGTCTGTTCCTGTTCACTTTTTTGTATTCCTTCATAAGTTGCTCCTAACCAGTTGATTAGGCAATTACTTGGTAAAAATTTTACATCTATATTACGAAATTCCCTGGTAAAACGCTGTCTTTGCTGTTCTTCATATTCTTCGGATATAATCTTTGTAGCATACATAGCAATACGTAAAGCCTTTATTGCTTTATCCTCACGTATATTATCGTTATATGTACGAAATATATCTTGAAAATGATACCAGATTCTGTTCCACCTCGTCATGTCACTAGTCGGATCTTCTCTTCCCCTTGCTGCCCTATACTCCTTAAATAACGAGTATAGAACACTATACACTTCTACTATATCTTTGTTAGACTCCTTCTTTATCCTACTTTTTAACTCCTTGCCATAATCAACGATTACCCTATCATCACCCGTTGCTATGGCTAAGTAGCTTATTTCCAATGTTTCGTATAACACGGTATACGTTTTTATGTGCTGTTCCTTAGACTGTGGATCAAGTTTGTTTGCTAAAACCTTTTCATTTAAGAAATCTGATAGATAATACCGTATATCCCTGAAAATACCAACTCTACGATTTGCCTTTCCATTTTCTCTTTTTTCTTGTAATTCCTTTTCTACCTTCTTTAAATTACCCAGTACAGTTTTTACAATTGGGGAACCACTAGATTCTAAGATACGTACATTCTGACTACGAGAATCAGCAAACTTTCCATCTTCACCAACAATATTAGACATAAACTTGGATTCAACACTGCTATCAAAATCAAACAATACCTGGTACGCGCTTCTTGCGGTTGTAAAGATTGATTGTGAGGCTATTTTCTTTAACTCTTTACTATCAAAAATGTTGATTAACGATTCTGAATGTGCTCCATTAACAGCCAGCACTCTTATTATATCTAAATATTTTTCCTTCTTCTCTTTGTCCTTTACATTGTTAAACTTTTGTGCAGCATAATCTATACATTCACCAAAACCATAATTTAGAGATGACTCTCGCAAGGACTTTTTAGCTTCATTTATACTTTCATTTGATTTTGTATACTCGTATAGCAAGTTATTTTTGTTGCGGGCATATGCACTAGAGCTAAAATAATGGTCAAGTAGTTTATTGTACTCAGATTTAACAAAGTCTTTATCTAAAAATTTGTTATCTTGCATCTTTTTTATAATCCCTTCCTTAACTTTATCAATTTTTGAAGAAAGAGATTTTTCCATACTTTCTAACTTTACCACTTTATCACGTAGAGCATTTTGTAAATCACGTACATCATCGGTACTTTGAGTTATTTGTTTAAATTCATTGATTGATTCTGTCATCATTGACTTACATTCTTGAGAAAAATCGGCATTAACAGCTGCTTCAATGCTGTCAGGAACATCACAACCTCCATTATTATCACGGTAACACTGCAGACTAGTACCCGCTAATTGTTGTGCTACTGTAGATTCTACCAATGACTTCCTAGCAGTACTTTCCAATTGTATTCCTCCACCTGTATCACGTTTTATTTGTAATAATCTATCATTTCCATAAAACTCCTCCACCTTTTGTAGTATTCCCTTTTATAATTCTCTTGAATATTATTTAATTCTTTAATGTCAATGTGCTTCTTGTCACTAAGGTATTCCAGCTGTTTATTAGCAATATCAAGGGGAAGTTCACATTTAGTCATTTTAGACAAAAAGAGCATGTCAAAGTTAAAAATTGCACGAATGAGCCAGTACTGCCAGAGCATGCAATACTTTGCCCCTAATAAAAGTTGCACTAATTTCGGATCACACTCATCAATAGCTACATCTATTACTGCCTTTCTTTCCGTGGAACTTAAATGCTTTGCCTTCCCATTTTCATCAAGAAGTTCTATTCCTTTCTTGTCATTTGTTTGCATTTTTGCCTCATGCGTATAAGTAAGTAATGATAACAAAAATTACATAAACAAGCAATACTTAATTTTCAATAGCATATCCCCTTGATAAAGGAACACAGACCGAAGCATTATACCAAACAGGGGTGATGTTTAATTATATAGTGCTATTTTTTATTAACTTTGCCCCGCTATAGTTGTTATATATATTGTTAATACTCTTAACGTGAGAATTATATGCAAATACGTTTTCCTTATGTAATTCTTTATAATGCTTGCTACACCCATAATAATTATACATCATAAAACCTCTCCAACTGCTCACTCCACAAAAGTGGTATTTTCTTTAAATCTGCTAAATGACGTTCTTTATAAATATGTTCATCATAATACCTCTGCACTTTCAAGAGCATGTATCTTTGTTGTAAAGCCACCTTTGCTGTGTTCCATCTATCATTTGCACTTCCAAATCTGGATCTTGTGTATATTTGAGCAGCTTTTCCCAAATTCCCTTTTCACACCACTTTTTGAATCTCTTATGTACGCTTCTGTAATTGCCATATATTTCTGGTAAAAGTCGCCATTGGCAACCACTTCGAGCCATGTACCACACTGATTCCATGAACCTTCTTATCCGATCTTCGTTTTTACTGTGTATTCCTTTTACACTTTTCAAATTTGCAAAAATTTGTTTCCATTTTGTTTCTTCTATGTAATATTTCATTTGGTAGTTTCTCCTTATTTATTCACGGTTAAACTACCACTTTTTTCTTATTTTTCCAAATTTTGGTTCACAGAGCCTAGT